TGAAAAGTTATGATGACTTTAAAAGAATTCATAGAAGGTGATGGTTGGTTTTGGACAATTTCCCTAAATATAAAGACAAAATATAAAGATAGGAAATGTTCTTGATGTGTGGCCAGGGCATGTTGTAAGATCGATATTAGGCGTTCTATGTGAGGAGCAGATCCAACCGCCTTTGTTTGGGAGTGAGGTAGAAAGCAAGATAAGCAATCCTTACTTTATATGGGAGAAATTTGAGATAAAAGGCAAATGGTGAAAAATTTACATCTGTACGCATGAATTTGCATTGACAATAAATGTAAGTAAGACAAAAAGTATTAACTTTACATCACGTAAAAGTACAAATCACAATTACAAAAGAATAATGCAAAACCAGATCTGATATATCTATATCTACATCTATACTATTATAAAAAGTATGAATAGGGTCTTAGGTTTTATGGGGTTTTTCTTGACTAAAATACCCTATTTTTTGAAATATGATCCCTCTATTGTGATGGTAGAAAATGTAATTTAAATGCTATTATTTGATGCATTAAATTCCCTCTCATAAATCACAAATTTAAGGTATTAACTCCCATTCTCCCTCGTTGAATCATATATTTATTCTCATTACTAAATTCCACTAATTAATTGCATACATAATAAATTAATAATTTCAATAACATAAAAACTTATACTTTTAAAATCTACATGGAAAAAAATAGTGTTTTTATCTAGGTGGTGGTAAGAAATTAAACCATACATCATATATTTGATATATTAAACGATAATAAGTATGGCAAATAATAATTATTTTCATTAATGATGGAAATGGAATATACAATTCAAAATCAATTTGAAATAAAACTAATTTTCTATTCACTCTCATTAAATCTCATATCTAACTTATGTTCTCTCACTAATCCTATATTGATCAAGTATTTTTCACATCATTAAATTCCACTAATTAAATCCACAATATCAACTTTATTACTATAAAATAAATATTTTGAAAAATTATTTGAAAACAAAATCATTTGCTTTTCCTCCTGGTGATGGGTAAGCAATTCAACCATTTGGGATTAAATGGGTTAATCAACAATGCCATAATTTAATAATAAAAAATTAAAATAAATAAATTATAGAAAAACAAAAATAATTAAGCATATCTCTAATATTGTATATTCATTATACTAAACAAAAATAAGTATGAAATATAAGAAGTATTCTTATTAATGATGAAAATTGAATGCCAAATCTAAAATCAACCTAAAAATGAAATGATGTCATAGTCAAATAATAAAAATTTTAAAATAGAAAATAAAAATAATCATAACAATTAAAAAAACTAGATAAAATTTTGGGCATATATCTAATGTTATATATTTATAAAAAATAAAATACCAGGTACATCTACAATATTATACATTCATTATATTGAACAAAAATAAATATTATACATAACAAGTAAACCTAAAAAGCAAACTATTTTCCTTTTTTTTAAAAAAAAAAACTATTGTTGTTTTTGGGTTGTGGGTTATTTGTCTGGGTCAAATAAATTAACCGATGACATAGTTAAATAACAAATCATTAAAAAGTAAAAAAACAAATAATCAAAAGAGTACAAAAATTATAAGAAATATATAAATCTCTAATGTTATATATTAATTATATCAAACAAAAATTTAGTGTAATAAGTAAAAAATATTTATATAATGTAGATTAAATATATAATTTAAAACTAATTTAAAAGCAAAGTTATTTTCCTATCTAGATAGTGGGTTAATAATCCAACTTTTCAAATCAACTCATAGTTAATAATAGTAGACTTATTTGCCAAAGAAAGCCAAAGGAAAAAAATTGAAAAAGTGCTTTAGCGTAGATCTGTGACGACCCACTCACTAATTCACTATTGTGGGGGGTTCACACTGTAGCGGGTAGGGGTGTCAATTGGACTGGATTTGGTCCAACCTGATCCAATCCAATGTGAGTCCATTATAAATGGACCAGGTCCAATCCGGTCCAATGAATGCTTTTGACCAATTTGGACCGATCCAATTCAATGTCTAGACCATCCAATATGTTCAAATTCATTTTTGATTTAGATTGGTTTCAATCCAAACCCGGTCCATTGACACATATATTCTTATCTTATATCAATGGACTAGATATTGGCTTAATTCAACCCAATCCAATATAAATTTTATTGCGGATGAACTTGGTCCAATCCAATCTAATAAATTTTTTGGACTGGATTGGTCCAATCCAATATATCTTGTTGGTCCGTCCAATCCGTCCAAATTGATTTTGGACTGGGCAAGGTCCAATCCAAAACTGGTCCATTGACACCTTTAGTAGCGGGCCAGGCTAACCCACATGCCTGCTTGACTTTTTTTTTTGTTTTTGTTTTTTGCTAAATACTAGTGGAATGGCCCGTGTGATGCACGGGGTATTTGATATTGATGGTGATGTTTGACTATGCTTTTACATCTCGGGCATAGATAAAAGTTCATATACCGTTTAAGTTCTAAGACAATTATATAATACATAAAAAAAGACTATCATCACAAAATGCTAAGATTTGAGTTTTATAATTATGAAATGTTGGTTGCAAATGCATTAAATCGAAACATTAATGCACCAAATCAATGATAAAATTACATTCAATGACATTATATACAGATATAGTTCATCCCAATGAAACACAAAATTTATGAGAATTGGAGATGCCACTCTTAACCGATCTCCTATTTTGTGATAACCTAAAACTTATGAAAATACTTACTATTAATGGTTAGAAGTAAACTAAGCTGTTGTGTTAACTAATTTACTCAATTAACTATTGAATAGCAGAAGTCATTATCTAAGATGACTATGAAAAACTTACATTTAAGCCTAAAAACATTTTCTTCATACTTTTTAACCAAGAGGAGATAAATAAATTAGTTGGACGCAAAATTTATCAACCAACCACTAGAGTAACATGTATGCAAACACCTTCTAGGCATGTTGAGCACCTCCGCACATTTGTCCAAGAATAAAACAATCAGACGATTCATAATGTGTCACAATGTTACATATGACCGAGGGCATGAGTTGTAGACCCTACCTAACAACTGTACACATGATAACATACAGTCTCAGTGGCCAAATTCCCTTATAAGACATGGGTCCAGCTAACAAACATGTGTAGGGCCCATGGAATGAAATTTCTATATTTTTGTGTAATTTTTGTTATATTTTTTCATTTTTTTATATTTTTCTATAAATTCTTCTTTTATTCTATAATTTTTAGTCATTTTTCTATAATTTATGGTTTTTTTTGTTTGTTGTAATTTATGTTATTTTCATCAATTTTTATGATTTTCTACATTTTTTAGTAATTTATATTATTTTCTTCATTTTCTATCTTTATTTGTATATCATGTATTTTTTATAGTTATATTTTTTGAGAATTTATGTATTATGTGAAAAATTAATGGGTTGGATTAAACCCAAAATGGGTCATTAATAGGTTGATGGGTCTGGTGCCCACTCAATGGCTTTTTAGAAAAGACAATGTTTTTTTTTTGGCCAACAACTATCATGCACCCTCATATAGAATTGGGATATGTTGGAAAAACCAAAAAACTAAGGGGTAGAATTGGTATGAAAAATCATGGTCTTTTGACCACACTAACTGAATCATTCTCATTTTTTATATATGGTAATAGATATAAATTCTTATTTTATTCTACAATTTTTGTGTATTTTTTTGTAATTTATGGATTTTCTTTGTATTTTGTAATTTATGCTTTTTCTTCAATTTTTATGATTTTCTATATATATTTTTTTGTAAACTTTCTCTATGTTTCTTTGTTTTTTTTTTAATTTATATTGTTTTCTTCATTATTTGTGTTTTTTTCACAATTATTTTGCAATGACAATATATACAATTAGAAAAGAATAGAAAGTTTAGGGTAAAGTTAGAAAGTAATATAAGCATGTTTTGAGCAAACCAATTGCAACATTCTCATTTTTTTTTGTAAATTCTATGTATTTCTTTACTTTTTTGCAATTTATATTATTTTTTCCATCTTATGTTTTTCATAATTATTTTGCAATGACAATATCTACAATGGGAAAAAATAGAAAGTTGGGGGTAAAGTTGGAAAGTAAAATCATGGTGTTTTGACCAAACCAATTGCAACATTCTTATTTTTTAGTACTAAATTAATATTAAGCCCATAATAGTATTAATATTATCTAACTAAAATTAGTATTAATTTAATAAGAGGTGTCTTTTGTGTTATTTTTAAGGTTTGGTGTTTAGATGATTTCACATGCACTATGTTATCCTAAGTGAGGTTCATGAATTTTTAATTTTTATTCTAAATACCAGGGTGAATTTATATAATAATTAATTGATATATGATTTCAGCAAAAACATAAATAATGATAAATTATTGGTTATGGGATCTCCAACCACCATTTAGCTGTCCTTATGTGTCTTATTTATAATTTATGAGAATTTATGGACGATTGCAATGAGTTAAATGAAAATAGTAGATAGCAACAAGGTTACCACCGAGAATGTATGCGGCCATTTATGATAAGATTAAATACTTGAATGATCAAAAAAGAATATTGAAAAACAAAAATTGTTAAAGATAAAGATGAAAAGTAAAATTAAGATACAAACATTTGCATTCTCATTTTTTATCGTTGAAAAAAGTTTAATGAACAACCTCATGAATTATGATAGTTAAATTAAATACTGGAAAAACAAAAATTGTAAGGGTAAAAAGAAAAAATAAAATCAGTCATTTTGACTAAAAGTTTTACCATCTCAGTTTTAAAAATGGTACAGAAAAATGACAGAAATTAAAAAAATAAAACATTAATAAAAACATGAATATTTAACACGATACGTGGGTTCGTGCCGGGCCTGGCAGGCTGGCACGGCCCAATTCGTGCTGCGCCGTGCTCGCTTTTCAACGATTTTCAACTCTAGTTCGGCCTCTAATGTCTAAACGCAGGGTTTTTAAAACATTGCAAGACATCACGCTGAAACGTGGAAACAATCCCTGCCCACTTCCTTCTCTCAGTCTTTGTGACTTTGTCTCATACCATTTCGCTTGACACGTGGTGTTGCAGTAATAAAGTGCAATGTCAGCTTCATGGCTTGATCGGCAACACTCGCCCACAGATAGAGAATAGAAATAGAAATATATAAAAGGAGGAAACAAGGGAAACTAAGCGCGCAGCGAGCGGTTTTGTTCAGTGGCCAAACCCCTAATCTCATCTGCAATTATTTTGATTTCGGGTTCAGATAGAGCGGTAATGTATTCAGTTTTTCATTTCCAAGTGCTTGCTTGATTTGTTTACATGATATCTTTATCAAAGTTCACAGATGATCGTCAGTCCTGGATTATCATGAATTGTTGCTTGTAAACTCATTGGCATTTGTAGTGTTTATCTGTGTCGAGGTTTTGCAAGAGCTCGGAATTATTTTTCAGGTTATTTGGATCGATAATCTGCTTCAAAGAACTCGTTCCATTTGCTTGGACGTTCTAACCAGTTTTTTGTTGTTCAGTGCCATTTTATTTTTCTTTGTATTATCCTGCCATGTTGATTCAATAATTTATTAGCAGCTCAACTCTTCCTCCTCTTTCTCCTCAGTCCTCACCCCAACCAAAAAAATAAAAATTCATTATGGTTAATATATCATAAAACTTTCCTAGCTCATTAAATATAGCAATCAATGGAGCATCAGCACTTAGGACTTAAGAGAGGACGGGGAATCCATTCCTAACTTGGGGAATGAGACTGAAAGGAAAAAAAAAGAATGATGGGGAAGGCTAGAAGCTAGTCTTCTTCACATGGGCAATGTGGCTAAGTTGAAATGGATGGATATTCAGAAATGAGGACCCTAACTCAACTCAGATTGCGGAGAAAGCCCACAAAATCTTAATGGAATAGATAGAAGCGGTGGGAAAGGACTTGCTGGAAAGTCATTTGATAGGAATTAAGAACAGGAGTAAAAAGATCGTAACAATTGTAAGATGAATCCCTCCAGACTGTCTCACTGTCAAACTCAGTTTTGAATTTTGAGTCGCTTGTTAATAAGGAAGATGAAGGTTTAATCAGGTGCTTGATCCATGACCACCTTGACCAACTAAGAAGAAGGAAAATACCATTGATCTGGTTGAAGCATCCTTGGCAAGGCAGACTCTTCTATGGGAAAAGGGCTTAGGTGCCAAAGAAGTGTGGCTAGTAGGAGATATACAACTGGTCATTGGATGCCTTAGAGGAACAACTAAATTCCATAGAGGATAAGATCTATATTGGATATGTGGCATGTGGCAAGAAAAATCAGAACAAAATAAAGATTTTGCATGTGCTTCCAGAAAGCATTCAGGGTACGGCGGTTATTAATTATGATGAAAATGAGTCAATATGTTGAATAGGTTTATTTTTGAGGAGGCTTTCTGAGAACGTGCCACCTTATCTTGTATAACTCTTGTTTCCCCAGTGATCTACCCAAAGGAGAAAGAAGTAACGTTTATACTGTTCTTAATTTGTCACTTTTTTTAAAGTTTTATGCCAAAAACCATAGCACTTTCATTTCTTAACTTTCTATTCCGTTTTGGTTCTTAGATGGTTAGGTTCATAAGAAATGAATGATTTCATGAAGCACCAATGCATCTATTTTTACCTGTCTGTGCAACAACCACGTCTATTCTCAACTACACCTGGAACACTCATATTAAATAATCTCAACTACGGTGATACCATATTAAACAATCTCCCATGACTGCAGATGGCTTCACGAACACTCATTTGTGAGACAGAACCTTGGAGGGACTTAAAGGTATACTAAATTACATGCTGTTCTTTTTAAGAATGGTGCATTTTATAGCTACCATATAGTATTTCCGATGAAACTTGTATTACAATGCAGGCCCATGTTGAGGATATCAAGAAGACACATTTACGTGATTTGATGAGTGACTCTGAACGCTGCAAGTCAATGATGCTGTATGATTCTCAGTTTTACTCTTAGAGACTATCTTCTGTTTGAATTAGATAGCATAGCTTACAAGAAATTGAACATCTGAAGTTTTATATGTTTTCTTTCTTTTTGTTTCCTGTTTTGGGATTAGTGCATATTTTCTAATATATTATCTTGCTATGTATTTCTAGTGAATTCGATGGGTTGCTATTGGACTACTCAAGGCAGTGTGCCACTCAGGAGACCATGGAGAAGCTCTTCAGACTTGCAGAGGCAGCACATCTCAAGCAAAAGATTAATAGCATGTACGGTGGAGAGCATGTAAGTAAATATCATGTCCTAAAGCACATACACTGTGCCAATTGGTCTTAAATGCTGATGTAAGACTTGCATTTCAGGAAACTTAAATAGTTATTTTATGGCAGAATTAAAATACTGCTGCAGTTCATATGACTAGATACTGAAGTCAACTCAACTTGGCAGAATCTTAATCTAGCTATTTGGAGTTGGCTACAGGGTTTTGTTTGATATTCACTCTGTTGAGGTTGTGTGTTCTGTTAAGCTTTGAATATTTAAGTCCTTTATTATTGTTTCAACCATTTCCTTGGTTTCTCCTGACTCATTTTGAACCCTTAACTTGCATTAATTGCTTCTCACTGTTGTATGGTTATAGAACCCTCAACTTGCATTAAATTGCTCCTCACTGTTGTAGTTAGTGGTTGTCTTCAGACATGTTCAAATTGTCATAGATAAATTTCATCTTCTCTCATCACCCATTGGGATTACCCCTTACCCCTAGGTTACTAAGAGTGAACCCATTTCTAGGAATACCTTTGTAGTCTTGCCCTGCATCCATCTCAATAGTTTAATCTTGTATACTTGTTTTATGGCTACTTCTTATGACAAGATAACCATTTGAACTTCGCATCTGAATTTTTGGTTGGTTTCTTCAGATAAACAGCACTGAGAATAGATCTGTCCTTCATGTAGCTCTACGTGCTTCAAAGGATAAAGTAATATACAGTGATGGGAAGAATGTGGTTCCTGATGTTTGGAAAGTCTTGGACAAGATCAGCGATTTCTCTGAAAGAGTCCGAAGTGGCTCCTGGGTATTAACTTTATTATTCTTTTTGTAAGGAAATTAACAAATATTGTATTAGTTATAGGTAAAAAGTGTACATGAAGGATTTATAACTCTATAAGGAAAGAAATATTGTATTAGTTATGGTGCTTAAATATCAAGTAAAGGCTGATAAAAAATGGTAATCAGGCTGGAGTTACAGGAAAACCATTGAAGGATGTTGTTGCTGTTGGTATTGGTGGAAGCTTCTTGGGTCCTCTATTTGTTCACACTGCTCTTCAAACAGGTGAGTTGATACCATATTGGCTATATGTTTGCCACCTACAATATAGTCTTGCTTCTATTGTAGATTTGGAAGTTGTTTCTGTTTTCCAATGTTTGAAGTTGTTCTGCACGCAGACCCAGAAGCTATACAATGTTCAAAAGGACGTCAGTTGCGATTGTAAGAAAGATCCATGAATTCAATTATTCTTGATGCATTAATTGTTTATGAAGATGTTTGATTCCTTGAGTCTTTTACCTAGGGTATATGTTTACTATGGAGTAGGGGTGGGTTTGAGCTGAGTCAAGCCAAATATCTGGATATTTGAGCTTGGTTTGGCAGAAAAACATGAGACTTGAGTTTGGGCTTGAGCTCAACTTGAGCTAGAAACAGGAGCTCAAATTTGGGTCGACTTGAAAGCTCATATGTTTGAGCTTGGCTTGGCTCAATGAGCTGAGCTTCATTGGACTCAAGCTTTGCTTGATTAGTAAACGAGCCTATATTATTGGGCTTGAGATCAGCTTGAATCGAGCTTTTCATGAGCTGAGCTCGAATAGCTCGTGAAAAGCTCGGTTTGTGTCCACCCCTACTTTGGGTCTATGATCTGATGAATGCTGCGTAGAAGAGATTCTCTGCACTAAATCTAAAATTTTTCTAGACACTTGGGGGAATTGTGTTAGGTGTTCTAGAAAAAGTTCTTCAGTTTTGATGGGTGGTATTGTAAAATCAGTCTAGATTTGTTGATAGCCCAATGTTATGTTTTTTAATGAGTAACTCTCTCCATTTTGTAGTCTACCTTATCCTATATTAACATTTTGCTGCAGTCTTGCAAATGCTGATCCAATTGATGTTGCCAAAAGTATCACAGGGTTGAATCCTGAAACCACATTAGGTAAACTGCATGTTTTGTTTTTTTTTCCTGGCATTTTGGCACTTTTCATTTGAAGTGTTTTCTGCGTTTCATATCCTAGCTATTTATTTTTGCAGTTGTGGTGGTTTCAAAGACTTTTACAACAGCTGAAACCATGTTGAATGCCCGAACACTGAGGGAGTGGATTTCAGCTGCCCTTGGGTCTGTGAACTAACCTAACTTAGTCTTTTGGGAATTTGGTTCTGATAATTTTCTTTTGCACACGATTCATTTATTTGTTCTACCATGTCAGACCTCAAGCAGTTGCAAAGCATATGGTGGCTGTCAGTACAAACCTTACGGTATTTCCATGTTCCTTATTTGTTTTTCTTTTCCTTGTAGCCTTTTGATTGGTCGTATATTTTTCCATGTTCTGATCATAGCTTTTTGTCATGGTAGAGTTTGAGAAATAATTTATTTATTCTTCCCATAGGCATAATTTATAATTCATGTCCTAGTATATAATTGTCAAATAATCAGTTCTACACTCTTTAGCTGGAGTAAGACCTATTATGGATCTTCTCGAGGACAATGATATTACTGATTCTGTTGTCTGTTAGTGCCTAGGCACTAGAGCATTGAACCAGAGTAAATACTTGGCATGCCAATTTTGAAGGTTGCAAGTATTTGGAGCATTGTTGAGCATTTGCATATTATATATGTATATCAATTTATAAAGTGATACAATTATTTATTAACTAATATATGCACTGAATTTGAGCTTAAACCTGCAAATGAAATTTATGTGGTAACAATAAAAATATATGGCTGCTTTCTATTACTAATTTATTAATTATTAGTAATGTAAAAAGAGGTGGGTAACACTTTTTTCTTTTTTTGTAAATTTTTAAATATTTTATAGATAATATTATATAGGAGGTTAAAAGGAGGTATCAGGTGGTTAAAACCCCAACTCAGTTTTTGCAAAACATGGACAAAGTTTTCTTGAAATGCAACTCAAGTAGGTTCTTTGGCAGAATTTTTTGAATCGTGATCCTTATATGTGAAGCCTAGGCCCTTAATGATGGTTCTGGATGCTAAGGTTTGTGATAAGAAGAAAAGTTTGTTTTCTTTTATCACTTATTTTTGCAACCAGTTGTCTCATCCTAAGTTTGTAGATTTCTTACTGATGGATGAAAGGATTGTTCCTTGGCAAATTCCCTTTCATATCTTAGAAATTTGGAGTCTAGAAAAAAAGTTTTCATCCACATTGATAAATGATGTTTGTACTTTATAAGGATCCTCTTCCCAAGTGTTATTCTTTTTTTTTGTCTGGTGGGAAAAAATAGACCTTGCTTTGTCCATGGTAGGTCAAGCAAGGATAATAAATGTTTTATTTTGATTACATATTTGTATATTTCCACATAAACATATATGTGATTAAATGCATAAGCAAATACATGCATATGTAACTATCCAGAATGGATTTGCTAATTGGTCATCCATTCAACTTCCCCAACAACAACTTAGGGACCTTCACTTAGCAATGTATTTTGGAGCTCAGAAGGCTGTGTTTGGAAATGATGTAAATGCCAGTTGGGTGCATTATTGCACCCCGGTCCTGATTTGCATGCCTTTGGAAACAATGTGAAAATAACCTTAAGATCAAAATAAACTTGCAAACTTGTCAGAGTTTACTTTGATCTTGGGTGAAAGACTACTTTGATTTTAACCAAGTAAATTCATGCTCTTCTTCCATTGAGAGAAGCACCCATGTTTTGCATTGTTAGTTGCCAAACGAGAAGAGTGTCAAATAAAGTGAAAACTTGGACACTCAGTCCCACTTTGCATGCACCTGAACCGGAGGTGTCATGATTTGTAGTGTGTGTGTGTGTGTGTGTATACACACACACACACACACACACACACACACACACACATTTACACCATTTCCAAACGCAGCTGAAGGTGTCTCCAGTCTCCACATTCTTCTGTTCATCCTTCACTCGTGGAAAAAGACCTTGCAATGTGTAAAAACAGAACCTCTGCTGTGGACTTTTTTTTTTTTTTTTAATATTTTATAGTTAAGAAGTATGGATAACTACTATCAATTGGGTAAAACTCCAATACAAGGTTGGGTATAGTGCGTATATCTGTGGGGTTGAACATGTGCCTGATACGTGCTTTCTTGAGCTAACAGAAAATATAATGTTTAGAGAAAAAGAGAAGGCCACTTTGAGGGGGTCAGACCTCCTTAAACACTAAAAACGGTTCTTGGCCCCCTATAACAAAATCCTTCTTTATTCATAACATAACAATATAATCAATTCATAGAATTCAAGAAACTAAACAACTAACTGCACCCTAAATCCACCAAAACACATACACCCTGTTGAAAGTGTTAAAATAATTGATTTTATGTTTGTTAGGATCTGTTTGGCTGATTAAAACCTTTTTTTATTTTAATCTATTATTGTACTATCACTTAGTAGGGGCACAAGGGTCATTTTCCTTATTTTTTCGCCCTATATATTATAATGAAGCTGGTGCCGCCAGTACTGTTCCATTGCCTCAACACTTCTTCTTACTTCTTCTCTTCTCTCCTCTTCTCTTCTTTTCTCTTCTCTTTGCTGTAACGTTCAATCAGATTTATTGTCAAGATGGTATCAGAGCGTGGCCATTGAATCTGGGCAATCAAGTGTCTTCTCCAAGCTGCTGAATCTGGGTGGAACAGAGGAGTACATCTGGGTTGTTCGAATCAGACCTGCAACTGGTACCRCCCCATTTTTTTTCTTTTCTTTTCTTCTCTTCCCTTGGTCGTGTACTAAGAGGAAAACGAATGGACCTGATCCACTGAATGTTAGCACATCCTTGTGAGGTTTTTCCTCTGCTTGTTTTGGATCGTGTGATCCTGTACCTGTGAAAGGCTATTGTAGGTCACGTATGACCTGTTTTCTCTACTTGTTGGCTTGATGCCTTGTGTGTAAGGATCTCCCCTTGTGATTATTGCTTGTAGACCTGCTGAGAAAACTAGTAAGTTGGGACTGCTACTCCATACAGGTCTGAAAATCATATCTGTCATCTTGTTTATTTTGGAAATTGGTACTGGTCTTGTGCTCAAATTAAGTCCAAAAACTGCAGTGTGGGTGGACTAATCACTTGTTGTGTGTGGAGTTTTTTTGTTTTGATATAAGGAGGGATCCTAAGTTGAAGTTTTTTGATAAAAAAATTCTGTGTTGACCATGTCTTCTGAGAATTCTGTTACTTCAGGGATTTTTGAAAATCAAAATGGGGTAAGTGGGGGAATGGATATGAGTTTCCCCATGGCTGTCATTCCCTTTGATGGTCTGAATTACCTTGAATGGTGTAGGGGAATAAAACTCTACATCACTGCTAGGGGAAAAATAGGATACATCAATGAGAAAGTGAAGGAACCGAAGTGC